TTTGGAAAAAAAATATATAATCAAATTCTGATGGGAATGCAGCTTGAATCTTTTCACTCAGAGAAACTCTGGGGTGAGTTCTAGGAAGAACTAAAGTGATATTCTTAATTGTCTCACTTTCTCAATCATTACTTTTTAAGGGGGAGGGAAACACACCACAAAACGGGTGAAATGATTGAAACCACACTTAGAGAGGAAAAGATGCAATTTTAATGAAGCAGCATTTTAGGAATCATACTTTCATTAAATTCAACTGAAAAGTATTAAGATCAAATCACCAGGAACCAATCGCAAGTAATCAGTATCTAAATTCTTCTAGTGTCTGGGGATTTACTTCAAGCCTTATAAAAAGGAGAGAATATTAATGTGACTGTAATGTAGAACTGTCTATAAGACCTGCAAATTCATTAGCCCTGTAAATATTTCTAGGGAATTTCTATTAGGAATTGTTTTTTTCTTTAAAAGATTATCAAAATACAGAGCTGGGAAAATAAGAATACACATATGCCATGAATAGGAATTTAATTAAATTGACACAGCAGAAACATGTGAATAAATGTCTTGAAACAAGATCTCAGAAAATAATTGAGAAGTCACAGGCAATAGAATTTGTCACAGCATTCACACACACACACACACACACACACACACACAATTGAAAGGACATGGCTTTCAATTAGCTGAGCCAACCCATTGTTGGCATTAATGAACAAACATATCCGCCGTGATTTTAAAAAATATGTATTTCTTTTTAAAATAAAACTGTTTTAGAATAATCACAATCCTTCCTTACTGGTATTGGTTTGCTTTTTTTTTTCTTATAAATTAATCATTTATATGAACTATACAAGAGCAGTTTAAATAAAGCACAATTGCTGTAAAAGACAGGCATATACAGTTTAAATAAAATGGCCATCCTGGCCATCAGTGAATATTTCTGCATAGTTTAATACTAGCAAACCTAATTAAATTGCAAAAGATTTTTCTATTTCCTCTGAAATTAAGCAAAGATAGTACCTATCAAAATTATTTATTTGGAACAATTACTGGACACACCATTGCTTTTTTATTCAAATGCTATTTTTGGATTTGCCAAGATAATTGAATGTTTATTTATTGATGCATACTAAATAACAACAACGTTAGCAAGGCTGCAAAAGGCAAGATTGAGCTTTGATTAAATAACCTTCATGGAATGGAATTGTTCACATCCTCTGAAACATGAGCATGTATTCCAGTGCTTTGAAATTATTAAGGTTTCACGAAAGCACAAATTAATAGTTGACCATAAGCTACCTCTTACTATGAGTGCATTCTGAAGAAGCAAGTATTCAGAAGGTTGTCTTAGCCTTTGGGAGCTTTTTCATCAGTTTCTTGAATTTTGATACTCACTTGAAGTAGTGCCAAACTTGGATTTTGTTGTTGTTGTTATTGCACTGTTTATTGGTAGTGATCTTTCTGATGTGAAATGGAAGAAAAATGCAGAGCCAAATGTTCTTTGAATTAAAAAAAAAAGTGCCATTTGATTGTAATTTGTTATCTGTGAGTGAGATAAAGCACACACATGTCACATAACTTGGCACCCAAATAATAAGATGTATTTTAAGAACAGCTTTTATTTGGTTTCTCTTTGGAAAATGAAGAGAAAAAAGCTCTGAAACAACACCGTTTCAACATTACTAGAAACATGACTCCAGAACAATACATTTCTGATGTTGTTTGGAAATACCTTAAATAGGTACAAAAAATAAAAATAAAAATTCTGAAAAAAGTCCGAAAAGATAATTGAGGAATTATTCCAAAACATCAATTATTATTTTTGAAAAGGATCAGGACATTTTAAACACAGCTGGCAATTTTCACAATGCACACGTTTGTTTTTAAATATGTAATTTAATAGAAAATTGCTTTTAAGATAAATTAACCTAAGTGTTTCATGAGAATGACAGGTACTATATTAAAAGGCTGAACAGTCTACTCTTACATTATTGTTATATGATGAATATATATATGTATATATATATATTTCCATAAAACCAAAAAGTTGGAGGGCATAATTCCATTTTCATCATTACCAACCATTTCATCACTTAGGTTTAATTATGAAACAGTTAACTGTATTATTACTCTACTTCCTCCATTTTGCTCTTTAATGTGTCTATTTCAGAAATAAACCTATGTGACATCCTCTAAAGTTCTGCCACAATTTTAGAATAATAGAAAATCAGGTCAACAGAAAAACAGAGTATAGCAACAACTTTCAGAATGGAAAGAAATTGGAAATGAAAGGCTAGAATCAATTGTTAGCACATATTCCTGGAAAGATTAATCTAAGGCATTCACAACCCCACCTCCACCCTAGCACACAT